TCGGTGAGGTTATGCAATCCCTTGACCATCTTGGTGGCCATCTTTTGTGGACGCTCGAGCATCTGGCGATCTCGTTGCAACCATGGACTCCAAGCTTGGATGGCGTACTCTGTATACGGTCTAATGTACACTGATAGCAAACATAGAAACCGTGCTGATTCAAACCGACCAAAGACTCACCTAAATAAGCCTACATTCTTTACAGCATAAGACGAAGCCTTAGCTCAACTGATCGAGCAGCTTAAATCTTCTTGAACAACAATACCTAATTCCTTTTCACTTGAAGAATGTGGTAGTTGCTGATTTCCGAGAAAATACGAGAATCTTCACTTGTGATGTAGGGATAGGACTTTACATTTAGAAACATTGAATTCAATGTCGTTCTCCTTAGACCATTGATAAGCTGCATTAGGTGATTCTTCAAGTGTTAGAGAACCTCCGGGTTCTGTTACTGTCCGCAAAATGTATTATTTTTGGACCTAACACTTTCGGTAGATGATTTATGAATGCAAGTCGTAACCTCGGAGATTTGTGCTTAGGTGCATAGCGTGCGACAGCTACATTTAGCTTGCAAACATCATGTTTAAAAGGTAAATGAAAAATGGTCTGATTAGCTGCCTGGTGGTCGAGTGAGTAGTATGCTTGCCTGTGTGGGTCCGGATTAGATCCCCCTTCCCTTGGGTCGATGAATTCGCACTACATGGATAAGAGCCCATCAGGTCAAAACAGTTGTTCAGTGCTTCTTAGCTTCGCAGTTCATGTTTCATTTGCTTTTTACATGACGAGATTCATCATATGATCACATCATATTATCCGCTACCGTGGTTTTGAGTAATATGTTTGGATCTCGCAAAAAACGGAATTGGCTGTTTCTCTCAACGGTCCTAAATGAACAAGACCTGTTAGAGCGAAGTACCCTGTTCGAAACGGCAACTGCGGAAAAGGTGCCACCATCCACCGTCGGATCTTTTCACTAGTTATCCTGTATGCTTGTGCAAATTCTGAAGACCTATTGCAAATGAGACATTTTGCTTTATCCGTGCCAGCTTACCGATACAATTACCATTGTTGGTGACAACTGACAATCCTCGTCCCGCCGAATGGCCTATCTAAATAGTGTTGTTGTTGTTATTTTCATCACTGTCACTGTTAATGCTGATTGCTACTGTACTTCATTCCAATCATTTGACCCCCCCCCCCCGTCTCCGGGGGCCGTACACAATGCTGTTATGCAACTCTTGTAAATCACAGGCCAGCAACGGTTGGGGTGAGAATGAACGAGGCGTATCATATACGTTTGGTGCGGACGAGGTGCAAAAATTCATGGACAAATGTAGCGTGAGCTTGATTGTTCGAGCGCATCAAGTGGTCGAGGATGGATACGAGTTCTTTGCCGATAAAAAGGTACATGACTGTGCGAAATTTCTTTGCCCAAGCGTTTTATTTTGTTCCTGTTATTTTCTTTCTTTAGAAATCGATCCCGAGTAAACCACGAACTCGAAGTTACAGTCGAACTCAAAACCAATTGATTTACTCTGACATTATTTAGGTGAATTATGCACAGGTGCAAGATGGATCCAATTGAAACGAGCTCCATTTCAAGCAGGCCCAGTTGGAAGCCTAACAGACGTTCTTGGCGAAAATTCTTTAAACTTGCTGTGCCAGATTCAGTTGTATCGTTGCACAATCTAGTAATTCCCCATACCACAGACGACCACAATAGAGCTCTGGTTTTCGGAGGGCAAAGACAAGCAGGCAGACGAGATGATTCTGGGTTACACTGATTCAGTTAAAGCGCACAAAAGTCTAAGCAGCATAGCCCCTGAGATGACACGTGCTGATTAACCATAAGGTTTCGAGAGCGACAGAAACAGCTGCGATTTCGGGCGGAACTGGACCGTTCATTACTAAAACGTTTCCCATCAGAATGCCAGATTACCCATGCTTTTAATTATTTATTTATTTATTTTTTTTGATACTACAAACAGCGGAAATTCTACTGTTCATTCGCATGAACCGGCAACCTAAGCCTCGAGGCTTTCAAAGGAGCACCACATAAGGCCTCAGTAGCATAGACATGATATTGCATCGGATGATCGAAAAGCTCTCCTGCTGGCTGACGTGGCATCATGATCACTAAGACTCAAGCAGACTGATTTGTGTCAGTGTTCGACGAGTTCGATGCTTATAATTCTAAGTTGATTATTGGAGGTTTTGATGCGAATGATATACTATAAAAAGTAAGTATGAACCAAAAGTCTTATTGTACCCATCTTTTTGACAGCTAGCAGCGTCTCTGTACCAATATACTTCACGAAGAGAATTTATCTACTATTTTTGTGCTACTCATGAGTAGTGCTCCATAGTTTTTCATTGGCGTCTCACCACCGGCAGAAAACTACCGTAGCTGAATCTTGGGCTTTTGGTCTTCCACTTTTTGGATGGAACAGACAACTGAAACAATGATCAGTTTATTACGAATGCGGGATATTTAGGGATGGATAACCTAGTCGGATTTTGATTAAGCTGATTATTGTTTTCTAGCGTGAGCCACATACCCCCAAAATGTATGCATACATTTACAAAACTGTGACAAAATAGTATTGGTAATACATTTGATCTGGCTAAGTAATTTGGCTTATTCCAGCCGGTTTTCGCATTGACATATCTTTTCCCCCTTTGATCCAGAACATGTTTGATTAAATACCACCTTCTACACTTTCTGTGTCGGATTTCACACAACAGATGGCACAAGTTGAATTTCTTTAATTTCAGCTGGTCACAGTATTCAGTGCTGCAAACTATTGTGGTGAATTTGACAACGCAGGTGCCGTGATGCAAGTTTCCGAGGACTTGGTGTGCTCATTCATCATTTTGAAAGTAAGTATTCGGTGTAACAGTGAGCGAGTGAGAGATTTACTCACCAATAACAAAGACAACAACATTTCTGTCAACCAGCGAGGTAATGTTCGTGGTCTGAGCAATTTCAACGCTTGTTTTCGATGCACCAGCGTCGATCAACAGACAAAACGGACAGGATTAAACCAGTTAAAAGTGTAACGGGAAACCAGATACCACCAGGTCGATCAATTGGCACCGAACTATGAGACACACAACATTCGCTCAGTAACAGTGAACAGAAAAAGATGATCGATAGTACGAATACATGTGCTATTACCTAGTTCAGTACCAACGGATGAATTAGAGCATGCTCCCGCCACGAAACTTAAAATCTGGATAAGAAAAAATGACAAGAAACTGTACACCGGTATTCAAAGTAGATTGTCCGAATGACTAGATATGAAACTCTAAAGTAAACGGGCTGTTTTGCTATATTGTCTATTGTGATTTTTCGAGTATTATTATTATTATTCAGTACTGTACTGAATGTGTACTGGATCCTGTTTCAGTCCGGAGAGAGAAACAACTTTGTCAAAGTTAGTTGTTTTGAGCAACATGTGACTCAGTTATCATGTAAGAGTCATTGAGGTGATGGAAAATTGTTGGTCAGCTGTATTGCACAGAAAAAATAAAGGCAGATACAGTCAAGCAGCTTATTTTTCAACAAGAAAATATGCCCATCGATACTGCTTAGTTCTCAAGCATGTCTGGTTGTGACACGTCAACACATGCCCGATGGATTTGTTCTAATAATCCCATAAAAAGGACAAATTGAACACAACTATTGCTGAATAACAGACAACATTAGCAGTAGGAAATGTGCAGTATTGGATGGGACACATTCTTACGACTTGCGTTCACAAGTAACGGATATTGTATTTCATGAAGGTTTATCATATCTACTCTCCATTTGTACTCCTCATTAAAGTATTCACTCGACTGCCCAGTGATATATTTACAGTACTCATAAACTAATTTAGATGAATTCAATTACTTTTGTGAAACTACTGCATATGTGCTTGACGGGATAAAATTTCAAAAGGTCATCACTTTGGGCAAAACGGCGACGGAGATACAGGGATGAGACGTTGGGGAGATGCCGTCGTAAATAATTTTGCGTACTAAAGTTAACTACTTCTAGCTTATCAATACAATCGTCGGATTTACAGTTGGGACTTATGAACCAATCAACCGAACCCATCAAACCAACAGACAAGCAACCCAACAATCAATTGGTCAATCAGCCAATCAGTCAAATTATTCATCAGATTGTCCTTATTACATTTGATCCTTTCATCCGTCATTCATTCATTCATTCGATCATTCATTGATTCATGGTCAGTCAGTCAGTCAGTCAGTCAGTCAGTCAGGCAGTCAGCTGCAGTCAGTCAGTCAGTCAGTCAGTCAGTCAGTCAGTCAGTCAGTCAGTCAGTCAGTCAGTCAGTC